TTGGTTCATCCTTTGCTGGGTTTTTTGCCCTCCTCTGGATCAACTGTAGGTATAGGATTATAACTTTTTTTTTTTATGGTTGAACTGGATAGACTTTTGCCTTTTTTCAGTCAGACTAACTATGTAACTATCTCAGGACATACTGTACATTATATTGCCAAAAGTATTGGCATACCCCTCCAAATCATTGGAATCAGGTGTTCCAATCACCTCCATGGCCACAGGTGTAATAAATCAAGCACCTAGGCATGCAGACTGCTTCTACAAACATTTGTGAAATACTTGGTCGCTCTCAGGAGCTCAGTGAATTGAAGCATGGTACCGTGATGGGTTGCCACCTGTGCAAAAAGTCCATCCGTGAAATGTCCTTGCTACTAAACATTCCACGGTCAACTGTTAGTGATATTATAACAGAGTGGAAGCAACTGGGAACAACAAAAACTCAGCCACAAAGTAGTAGGCCACGTAAAATGACAGAGCGGGGTTAGCGCACAGTGTGCAGAAGTCATCAACTTTGTGCAGAGTCAGTAGCTAAAGACCTCCAAACTTCATGTGACCTTCAGATTACCACAACAACAGTGCGTAGACAGCTTCATGGAATGGGTTTCTATGGCTGAGCAGCTGCATCCCAGCCTTACATCACCAAGTGCAATGCAAAGCGTTGGATGCAGTGGTGTAAAGTATGCCACACACTGGACTCTAGAGCAGCGGAGACGTGTTCTCTGGAGTGATGAATCACGCTTCTCTGCCTGGCAGTCCGATGGACGTGTCTGGGTTAGGAGAATGGTACTTGCCTGACTGCATTGTGCCAAGTGTAAAGTTTGGTGGAGGGGGATTATGGTGTCTTGTTGTTTCTCAGGGTTTGGACTTGGCCCCTTAGTTCCAGTGAAGGGAATTCTTAAGGTGTCAGCATGCCAAGACATTTTGGACAATTTCATGCTCCCAACTTTGTGGGAACAGTTTGGGGATGGCCCCTTCCTGTTCCAACCTGACTGCACACCAGTGCACAAAGCAAGGTCCATAAAGACATGGATGAGCGAGTTTGGGGTGGAGGAACTTGACTGACCTGCACAGAGTCCTGACCTCAACCTGATAGAACACCTGTGGGATGAATAAGAGTGGCGACTGCAAGCCAGGCCTTCTCGTCTGACATCAGTGCCTGACCTCAATAATGTTCTTCTGGAGGAATGGTCAAACATTCCCATAGACACACTCCTAAGCCTTGTGGACAGCCTTCCCAGAAGAGTTGAAGCTGTTATAGCTGGAAAGAGTGGGTCAACTCAATTTTGAACCCTATGAACTAAGACTGGGATACCATTAAAGTTCATGTGCATGTAAAGGCAGGCATCCCAATGCTTTTGGCAATATTGTGTATGTCATTGGGGGGAGGTTGTCTTGTTGGTACATTACTTTGCTTGTCAATGTTGTCACACATTTTAATGGTTGAGGTTAGTTTGGCCAGGTACATTTATATACAATATTGTGAGTAACTGACTGGCAAGATTATGGACGGTGTATATGTGTCACCTAGGTTTCTCTCCTACACACGGTGAATATTTCCGGGGTTTATGACTGATTTGCTGTTTTTCCCTTTCCCTTGAAACACCCTTATTGTCTTTTATTTTTTCAAAAATGTTTCAATTCATACAGTACCTTTTCAATCTGGCCATTGGCAGTGAGTGGATTGTGAAAGAAGCAGACAAGAGTGCCATGTAATGTCTTGGTGCAGTTCCCTACAGCTATCTCCTGTAAGTCCCCGATGGTTTGATGACATAGCCCCAGGGGATGGGTCCTTGATGCCCTAGGTGTCATTGACCCCAAAGGAGGATTGGTGAGACAGGTCGAGAGGCGGCTTTTTGCTAATAATTTCAGGGCAATGGATTCTTACTCTTTTTTTTTTAAACTGGAATCGGGCTTTGGTGTGTGAAATTACTAAAATCTAATGGTTGTTGTTAGTTGTGATGTTTCTTCTTTATTGGGTCCTACCTAGGATTGAATACTCAAATGAAATGTATCTGGTGTTTGACACACTTTATGAAACCCTGTGGCCCCTGAGCACGTAAATCCTTAAAATGTAACTTTTATTTCATCACTACGTAAAACCTTTGACTTTTCTTTGAGTTTACAAGTATCTTCAAATCATAACCCTTTTATATTTTCAGACATGCCACCATTCGTCTGGTTAATTCTACCTCTGATCTCTTGGCATCTATTGTATCTGATTTCACTGTATCCAACTAAATTTTCTGCTCTTCCCTTTCTGTTAATAATCTACCACCTATTTTTTCTTTATCTATATGGCTTATTGACCACTACTATTTCGGTTCCATTGGATGGGAAGCATTAGCCCTAGAATAGGACTTGCTGGATCATAAGATAAAATTAAATTAATAATATAGTGGAAAAAAACAATTAAAATTAATGCAGCCATCACATCTAAGGTCTGGTAAAGTGCAATATAAAAGACATTTATTCTTGGGTTCAGATACACCTTAAGTTTCAATGAATAATGCCATCAAATAATAGCAACTAAATGGCTGCAATATAGCCATTGCCATGAATGATTGGAATCAACAAACATTTAAAGTATGCAATCCAGCCAAAGCTATCTGGCTAAATGGTCTCTAAAGATAAATACAAACCAATGTCCAGTCTCAGTATTGGGCTCATGCACACTGGACTTTTTTGCAGCTGCTCCTAGGGGTGTCAAGACATTTTTATTCTCTATCTTCTGCCTCTAAACTTCCCTGCATTTTAGCCTATGTGTCCATGCACACACAGGCTTTAGCAGCGTTTAACAGCGGAGGCTTTTGGAGACAGAAAAAAAAAAAACACCGCCTGTGCATCCAGGGGCAGCGGCATTTTGGCAGAAAAAACTCTTGACGTTTGTAAACGTGTTAATGCATCTAAACGCAAGTTAACGCTAGGCGCGTTTAGTGCTTGAGAGTTAATTCATTTCAGCGGCCAGAATAAATTATTATTGTGGCCAGGGGCGTCCCTAGGGTTGGTGTCACCTGGTGCGATAACACTTGGTGACACCCACTCCAACAATCCCTGCAGAATGGATCGGATCTGCGGACTGAGCATAATGGATCGGACTCTGATCATTATGCTCAATCTGCAGATCTGATCCATCCTACAGGGATCATCGGCTTGCTTTACAATTTACCTTTTCGTGGAGCAGGTCCGGTGTCACCCCGTATAGGTTACATGCTGATGATCCCCACAGGATGGATCGGCGGATTGAGCATAATGGATCAGCGGGTTGGGGAGCATAATGGATCAGACTCCGATCCATTATGCTCAATCCGCAGATCCGATCCATCCTGCGGGGATCGTCGACTTGCTTTACAATTTACCTTTTCATGGAGCGGGTCCGATGTCACCCCGTGCGGTAGGTGTCACCCGGTGCGGCGCGCACCCCCTGTACCTGCCTAGGGACACCCCTGATTGTGGCCAATGAAATGAATTAACACCCAAGCACTTGATGTCTGTAAACGCGCCAATATTTGAAGATTTCGGTAAATGTTGCTTTTCTGAGGAATACATTGAAGTTGATGGGAAAGGTGAAAGAGTACATTTTTTCTCCAAGCAAATTTAATTTCAGCAGCTCAAAGAGAGAGTGTTATCACTTTGCTGAAATCAATTTCACCGGAATCATTCATCAGAATAATGTCACTCATTCCTGCAGAAGACAGATTAACTATTTTAAATTAAAAGGAAAATATCATAGAACCAATTTGTACAGTGATGTCTTGAGGGGTGAAAAGTAACTAAAACAGGATCTGGAGCCTCCAAAAAATGTTTACCACAGAATGTAACCGTGGTCCTACTGAATCATTTCAATAATAACAACTTAGCCCTGGTTCACACCGAATGCAGCTTTGAAATTACACTACTTCAGCTTAAGTAGCGCGATTTCAAAGCCGCTGGTCAGTGCAGTTTCATGTGTGGCTTGCCGCCATCTGTGCGACTTCATGCACAGATCTCAATGCAACTCGCACGTGAAATCAGCAAAAATAGTGTAGGGACCGGAATCAGAGTCGCACCAATTTTAATGGTTCCATAGGCACAAATAGGGTGCAACTTGTCATGCGATTTTGAACTGTCAAATGGCATTACAAATCGTATTGGTGTGAATGGGGGCTAATGCAGGAAAAAAAAGTGATGGTTAACGTTGATCATATGTAGTAGTCAACATACATCAGAAACCACTACTTTTATTGTTAGGGTTCTAGGAATCCCAATACATCTAAGGTACCATACAAAAGCATCAAGAAATTGGTTAGCCCCAGCCACCTTCAATAGACAGCCTTCCATCAGATCTCAAGAATCTCATGCATAGAGAATACCTAGGTAACAAAAAACTGCATAAACAGATCAATTCTTTTTTAAGGCTCATGCACACTAGCGTTTTTTTTTTTATAAGCTCCTAGAAGCTAATAGCATGTTATCTTTTCCTAAAAGGTAAAAAGTCCATGCACACTACTTTAAACTATTAATGTTTTTTGAGCTTCAGCTTCTAGGTGCAGAAAAAAATTATTTTTGTGGAGTTTTTTTGGAGTGTTTTTCGAGCAGAAACGCCAAACGCTCTTAAACTCTAGTACAAAGCTACTAACAGCTTTTTTCTAGCTTTTTCTTTTTTTCTATATTTACTGTAAAAAACGCTAATAAAACACTAACGCTCCTAAACGCTACTAAAAAACACTATTACCATTGTTTTTTATCCAGCATTTTTTCCAGAGTTTTTTGTTTGCTTAAAAAAAACACTGGTATGCATAGAGCCTTAGAGGAGGAACCAGTTACAAAAATAAGGCCTAGAATCAATTATGTGTTTTGAAATACAATACTTAGCATTTAACAGGGGAGTTGGGGAGATGATTCCATAGTCACGACCGACTACAAGTAACATTTTAATGATAAAGGTTTGAGGACCTTGATTTACAACTTAGCATTTTAACCACTTCCCATCCGGCCGTTGTATATAAATGGCCGGACGGTGGCAGTGCAGGGGCGAGTGGCCATTTATAAACGGCTTCCCCGCCCCCTGCTTGTGCGTGCTCCCTGACACAGTGGAACACTGATCGCCGTACGGGACCTCTGTGCAAGGTCACGATCATGCGATCACTGATTGGCCAATCAGTGATCACATGCAGAGTAGTAAGCAAGATGTCACTTCTGACATCATTGCTTACTACGTGTGAAATCTGTGAATGATCACAGAAATCTCATGGTACAAGGCTATTCACAACTGCCTTGTACCATGTGACAAGCTGTGACCAATCACAGCTCTCACAATATTTCTCAATGGCTGCAAGAATGCAGCCAGAGAGAAGGAGAAATTATTGCTTTTACAGCCTTTATGGGTGTAAAAGCAATCAGTGTAAAAAAAAAAAAATCTTCATCACCCCCAAGTAGTACAGTGTCCCCATGGTGACACTGTACTGCTAGGGTGACAGTATGTAAAAAAAAAAAAATAATAAATAATAATATAAAAAAATTAAAATGTTAAATTGTTTTTAAAAAATTATAATTTTTGGTTATCAACTAATTTGGGTTATTTTTTTTTATTTTTTTTTTTACTAAAAGGATAACTGAATACATTTGGGCTAAGATTTATGATGAAATACTTATTTGAAAAATTTTAAAAGAAAAACACTTTTTTTCAAAATGTTTGGATTTTCATTTATATAGCAAAAAAAAAAAAACCACCAAAATAAAGCTTTATCTGTCTCAAAAAATTGCTAAAATAGTCATATGGGTACAGTGTTGCATGACCGCGCAATTGTCATTCAAAGTGTGATAGCGCTGAAAGCTGAAAATTGGATGGACAGGAAGGGGGTAGAAGTGTCTGGACTGGAAGTTGTTAAACAGCAATTATGGTAGTAAGGATATAACTTGTTTGAAAGTGCTGCATTCCTAGCTTGTACATGGTTTCAGCAATAAAAAAAAGTTTGCTCATGTCACTCTAAATGGAATTTCTGTTTTCAGAAACTCAACTTCAACTCTTTACAGTGCAAGTTCCCCATATATGGGGTGATTCATAAAGGGTGTCGGAGACACCATTTAGAATTCTTTCAAGGCACAACTCCGAAAGTATCAGTGCTTTCACCCAGTTCATGTACTTGTCACAGGTACATACATTTGTCCATCTGCAGAAAGGAGTGTACTCACTGGACATTTCTACATCAGTACACTCGCTCCTGCCCTTCCTCCCTCTGTGGCGAATGTGCCTCTCACACTGATAGGCACATGGCAGAGGAGTTTTGTACTAGGGTAGCATCCTTTGGGCTTCCTTTCGCCTATCTTTCCAATGGATTTGTTAATGAGTTACACAGATCTCACCATCTGTTATTTTGTAAGGTGAGTCGGCTGGCTATACGTGGTGGGTACTATGGTATAATATAATATATTTATAACACACCACATTTTCAAGGCATTAGCTGTGTGTTGGTCCCTGGTGTTGGTTTTAGTCTTTATGTGGTGTCATGTTGCTTTAGATTAAAAGAAAAGCGAACCTGTTGGGGAACTAGTCTCTGAGTTCCCCATCAGGCTCTTCTCACCCAGTGACAAGTCAGTTCTCAGATAAGGGCATTTGCCATATTTGGCTAATGACTTCACATTTATCTATTTTTACATTTACCTTTCAGCCAGGAAATCTAATGACAGCTAAATGGGGCCAAGGATAGACCTCTTTGCAGGAGTAGGTATTAATTATCACCAGTTTGCTAATCTGAGAAATGTAGTAATTCTTTAAGAATTTGTTGCTGCCACAGTGACACAGTGAACCTCCACCCAAAAGGGTAAGTTGCGCTTTAAGGCCTCATTCCCCCGCTGTCCGTTAAGGATTAGCAACTTTTGGGAGCAGGAGGGGAAGGGTCCCCAAATTTGACAGGTACCCGCTCCTACGTCCGCTGTGATTTTCTAGGCACCCCTCCTTCCTCATAGTCTTCTGGGACATGTAACATGTATGGGAACAATCACAAAGCGCAGCGCTACTTGCGCATTCACAATAGTCATCCAGCTGTGAAGTCGCAAGCTGTCACAGCCCAGTACCCAAACTGAAGATGCCAGCACTGGGGACACAGGATGGCTGCGGTGAGGACATCACTGAATCAAGGGACATGTGAATGTCTATTTTTTTAAAAATCAGCAGCTACAGTTTTTGTAGCTGCTTACTTTTATTTAATTTTTTTTTTAATTTGACTGGAACCCCACTTTAAAGTAGAAATCCAGTCAATACTAACTATACTTAAACTTGCTTTCACCCCCATTCTAAACCTATTCCAACTACCCTGTAAAAGAAAGATGTCTATATTTACCTATTCTGAGAGCGCTGTGGTCTGGTCCAATAGTCACAATGCTGACAACATCTGTAATGCTTATGTAGTGACATCACTCATAGTCTTACTATGGGGCCTCTGTTGTCGGGCTGTCCCTCCTCTACACTGAGGCTGGTATGGGAGTTGATCATGTGACTGGACCTGAAAGGTCTCAGAATAGATGGGTAAACTTATCTTTCCTTTACAGGGTAGTTACCATAGGCTTTGTGTGGGGGTGGCAGCAGATTTAAGTATACAGTAGTTAGTATTTGACTGGACTTTCACTTTAAAGTGATGGTCAAAAGAAATAACTGAATTTGCTGCTTATGTTGATAATATTACCGACACTGGTACAAATACTTGCCTGAATTAGGTTCAGGCAGTTCTTAAGGGAACTACCACCCGTAAAGTGTCATTAGGGTTGTTTTGAATTTCCTGACTGGGCCCTCTCCTCCTTTTAACAATCTGATGTTAGTAGATTCAAAAGGTGCCTGTAAAGAATAAATCTTAATATATACTTACCTTAACCCCATCTTCCTAACCATTGGGTGTGATCCCAACATCCTCTTAGTAAGATTCCTTAGAATAAGAAGACACTCCTGTGCACATGTTCTTGTGCGTTATTGGCTGTTTAGTGTCCCCCAGGTTTTCACTAGAAGAAATGTGACTTTCCTCTTGCCTAGGCATCTCAAGCGGAAGATCTGAGAAAAGCAAGTTTAATTCACATTTTTTTTTTTTTTTTACACGATATGTGGACCTACTAACATACAGTAAGGTTCATTTTAAAGTAAAAATTATATGTGGACCTTACATTTTACTCCAGGGTTAATTTTACAGTAAAAATTATATGTAGACCTTACATTTTACTCCAGGGTTCATTTTACAGTAAAAATTATATGTGGACCTTACATTTTACTCCAGGGTTCATTTTACAGTAAACATTATATGTGGACCTTACATTTTACTCCAGGGTTCATTTTACAGTAAACATTATATGTGGACCTTACATTTTACTCCAGGGTTCATTTTACAGTAAACATTATATGTGGACCTTGCATTTTACTCCAGGGTTCATTTTACAGTAAACATTATATGTGGACCTTGCATTTTACTCCAGGGTTCATTTTACAGTAAACATTATATGTGGACCTTACATTTTACTCCAGGGTTCATTTTACAGTAAACATTATATGTGGACCTTGCATTTTACTGCAGGGTTCGTTTTAAAGTGTCTAAAATCAAGAACAAAATTATATATTGCAGCTTAGCGGTCCTAAGATGTTGTGGTTGCATTAATTTACTCTTTTCAAAACTTTTTTTTTCTGTTATTTCCAGGATCTGGGGGTCCTGACAGTACCATACTTCCTATTTTAGGGTGACAACACTCAAGGTACTGTATCTATGGAAAAGCATTATTGGCTGCTTTCCTGACATGGACTAAAAAGATCTCCTTATCTCTAGAACATAGGAGGGTGTGAATCTGTGAGAACCTGGAAAGCTGAAAAAATTTCAAGTGGTTCTAAATTCTTAGGGTTTTTACCTTAATGCATTCTCTGCATTAAAGTAAAAAAAAACCTTCTGTGTCTGAGATCCCCTCAGAGCGCCCCCCTCTCCCCCTTATACTTACCTGAGCCTGATCCCAAAACCAGCACTGCGCATGATAGCAGTGGCTTTCTCACAGGGCAGAGTGATAGCAGCGGGAGCCATTGGTTCCTGCTGCTGTCAACCAAATCCTATGACCAGGGAGCAGGGGGCAAGGCCAAGCCCTGGTCTCTAGACGCAGATTGCGGGGCTCAGGAGCAAGCCCGCATGAGCGGCCCCATAGGAGATGGCTACCTATGGGGCACTCACTGAAGAGGAGGAGACCAGAGTGCCGGTGCAGGACCACAGTAGAAGTGGATTAGGCCTGCTCTGTGGAAAACATTGCACAGAGCAGGTAAGTACAACTTGTTTATTATAGTTAAATAAAAAGGTTTAGAATCACTTGTTTAATTTCATTGCACAGGAAGCTCGAGTACATTGGTTTTATGGCAAGATCAAAATATATTTTCCTGTACTTGTTGAAACTACTCAGCGTGAAAAAGAGAGCACGCATTTTACATTTTGGGGGTTTTTTGGGTTTAGATATACTTTAACACTATGTTATATTAAAGGCATGTCCTATCTTGTATTGCCACTATTTCCTGTAGAGTATTCATTGCAACATATACTCTATGACATTTTAAATGGAAATTCTTTTATTAAAATGTGCTAAAAAAAAAAAGGAAGACAGTTGAAACTGCAGTATGCTGGTGTCAGCCTCTCAGCAAGTGTTGAGTACTTTCTTTTTGTCTGTGCACCTGCTGCTCTCTACTTTTTACATAGAATTCAAGTCAAGCAGAATGTACCTGATATAGTTTACTTATGTTCGACATAGTGCTTTTTTGCTAAATATTGTGTATTCCATCATGTAAATTTAAATTAGATTTACACACTATATTAAAGGCTTTTGACATCTGCCTTTTTAACACATTGTAAGATTATCTCATTACAAACAATTAAGCCCCCCCATTCACACTTGAGCATAACATATGTAGGTGATGTTTCAGCTTTTTTGTGTGTTTTTAATTGCAAAATGTGATACAGAAGTATCTTCAGGGCAGGATCAAGTGTTTTTTAGCTCGAAAATCTTTTCTTAAGGGAGTATCTGGACATCATGTGTAACATGCTTTGCATGGTTTTTTTTTTTCACTTCCATTTAAGTCAGTGGGACCAAAAATGTGCCATTGTGCTTGAAATATAATTTGTGTACCTGTATGAGTTTCAGTCATTTAGCTACAGGTGCCTGAATGCTCAACTGTGAACAGGGACAATTAAAAACATATAATTTGGCTTGATGAGCTTTTTACAGCTTCAAGCTAAAAAATGCTTAAATGTGAATGGGGGCCAAGTGATGTGCGCATTTGTCAAATGTTTATAAAAGCCCTTTTTATCCA